CCCCCCAGGTGCCTTCCCTGTGCCCCCCCCCCCTCCCTGCCGCAGCATGACCTGCGGCTGCCGGAGCATCCCGCATCCTGCTGCATCCCGCATCCTGCTGCATCCTGCTGCATCCCACATCCTGCTGCATCCCGCATCCTGCTGCATCCCGCATCCTGCTGCATCCCACATTGCCAGGGCCAAACTGTCCAGGTCGCTGCAGCCATCCATGGGCTGCCGATAGGGAGATGCTCCATTTGCAGCAGTCCAGTGTTCGGCCCTGTCCCCAGGCAGGGGGGCACGGCTGCTGCTCCCCCTCCCCAAAGCCAGCTCTGCTCTGGCAACACGGCTATTTAAAGTTCAAAGGCTGCTCTGAACAGATAAAGGGGGAGACAAACACAGATACCATCTGCCTGGGGGAAGCAAACTGTAAACAGTTTTGCTGCAGCACAGCCTTTTATTTGAATGCCGACACAGGAGCTGCTGGAGCACTGGGTGTGCATGGCCAAGCTGAGGCAGAATCTGCCCAATCCCACTTTTTCTTTTTTTCAGCTTGGAAGCTGGCAGCAGGAGGAACAGTAACCAGGGGGGTTGTAGCAATGGATATTTACACTTCTGCTGCCTGACCTTCCTGCCTGCCTATTTATTCCTTTTGTCCCTCTGGATGTGACCATAACCTCGCTGAGCTCTCGGTAGGTACAAACCTGTGTTTTATTATCTGGTGTTCGGGGGGAAAAAATATTAATTCCTCTAAACTAACTTTACCCACTCTTGGATGCTAGACCCTGTGGCAAGAGCAGCTTCCCCAGACTGTTCCCCTGCCTGCCCAGTCTTGTGCTCGCCTTCAGATCAGGACCAGCCTGGGGCCACAGCAGGATGAGGTTCCCTTGAAACTGCCCCGTGAGAAGGTGCTTTTAATTAAACCCTTCCTAAAATGGCCACCAACACCCATTTGAGAGGCATGATGCCGAGTGTGAAGTTCTTCCAGCACAGCTGAGCGTGGGGGTCCTACATCAGCCCCACTCCAGTTTTGCTCAGCTAGATCTCAGCTGTCTCACCATCATTTTGCAAGTTCCAGCGATTCAAGTCTCAAACCCAGCAATGACAAACACAAAGCAAACCACTACACCCTTTTTCCTGACTATTCTGCTCTTCCTGCTCATACGAGCTACACAAAAACTCTGCTAGCCAAAAACAAGCTCGCAAGACAATTTCTGCAGAGTCACCTCTGCTATTCAAAGGAATTACAGGTCTCCTTTAATTTCCCATGAATGACAAGTAACCTCTGGTTGGGTCGTTACCCTACAGATCTGCACGTTACCCTATGGATCGACCAAAGGCCACACGTTCGGGCAGCGCATGGGGTGGAAGCCTCCATCCGTAAGGCCAGAAACAAACTGCCCTTGTTTAAGCTGGGATAAGAGGATAAAACCCAACCCAAAAAAATTCAGCAGCGACCTGCCCCGCTTGACCCCGCTGCTGATCTAAGCACTCGGTCAACCCAGCAGCAGGATTATCTCCATCACTTTAATTTTCTGTGATTGCAGGGAAAATCCAGCCGGGCAATGAGCTGAAAACACCACAAATCAAAACTGGCACATGCTCCACTGCTGTATGCACCCTAGATATGCCTGAACCTCAAAATAAAATAAAAATAAAATGGCTAAGTGACACCTGATGGTCCAGCACCAAGAAACCAGAGGATGCCCAAAGGAGGCAACCATAAAATCAGAGAATCCTACAGTGGTTTGGGTTGGAAGGGACCTTAAAGATCATCTACTTCCAACCTCCCTGCATGGGCAGGGACACCTCCCACTAGACCAGGTTGCTCCAAGCCCCACTCAACCTGCCTTTTAACACTTCCAAGGATGGGGCATCCACAGCTTTTATTAATGTCTAACCCAAATCTACCCTCTTCCAGTTTAAAGCCATTATCCCTTGTCCTCTCACTACAAGCCCTTGCAAAAAGTCCCTCCCCAGCTTTCCTGCAGCCCCTTCAGGCACTGGAAGGTGCTCTAAGGTCTCCCTGGAGCCTTCTCTTCTCCAGGCTGAACAACCCCAACTCTCTCAGCCTGTCTCTAGAGCAGAGCTGCTCCAGCCCTTTGATCATCTTTGTGGCCTCCTCTGCACCCACTCCAACAGCTCCACATCCTCCTTATTTTAGGGCCTCCAGAACCAGACACATTTCTCCAGCTGGGCCGCCTTCAGCCACCCACACCCAAGAAGCACCTGCAGAACACCCTGGCCCTCCCCAGATAAGACCCATCCCAGGGAAACCCCCCCGGGAAACGCAGTACCTGGTTGCCCATCCTGATGGGGGGCCGGGGACCTCCGGCGTAGCGCGGCGACATGAAGGGCTGCGGGGACACAAGAGGCAGGTGAGGGCTGAGCCACGGGGAGGCCACACGCTCCCCACACGCTGCTCAGACTGTACACACGGGGTTTCTGTTGGTTTTGGTTTGGATTTTATTTTTATATTTATTTATTTTTCTCTGGAGACATCCTTTTACAAAAAAGTCAGGTTTCAAAAGGGAAAAAAAAAATATGAAAAAAAATGTCTGGAGTCCGTTTTTGGTTTTTTTAATGTTTTTTTTTCTCTTGTAGTTTTATTGTCTGAGAGCGTTTGACATCAGCAATACTAGGTGAGGCTGTTAAAATTAGTGCATGGGAAACCCTGAGTGTTAGATACTGTTCAAGTTTAAATATATAGATTAAAAAAAGTGGCAAATAAGCACATACAGACACGCACACACAAAAAAACCCCCAATGCTAAGTACTGAAAAAAAAAAGGAAGAAAGACTTAAAGTTACTCTTTTTTTTTTTTTTTACAACTGCTGCTACAAACAGAAGCTTAAAAACCCACATGAAGTTAAATTTCTCAGGCTACCTGGGGAAGGCAAAACAGTCTGATACCCACGATTGACTTCTCAGTCCATTGACAACTGCACATCCGAGAAAAAAAAAAACAACAAAAAGAAAAAAGGAAGAAGAAAAAAAAAGGAAAAAATGGGAAAAAAGCCCAAGATTTTGCCTCAGAGCTGGGATTCCCAGGGGGATGCTCCCCGGGGGAGCAGGGCACCCACTGCCCAGCATGCTTAGAGAAGGGGGGGACAAAAATAGAGCAAATCGAGCGCACGTCGCGGTTCACAGCCCTACCCATCGCTAGTGTCTTTACCTGACTGTGGGGTCCCATCATGCTGTTAGGGTTGTGGGGTGGAGGCTGTGCGTGTGGCGAGGGCTGTGACCCAGGCGGTCCCTGTGAGGTCAGACAGTAGAAGGAGGTTATAGATTAGCACATGAAAGCGCAGAAAAGAGCTAAAAAAAGGATTGACGGGCGGACCTGTTTCGTCAGGGAGTCAGTTCTCCCATTCTTTCCTTTTTTTTTGTTTGGTTCATTTGTTGTTTTGGTTTTTTCCTCTTTTGAGTTTCTACTCGTTCGTAGCTGAACACTGAATAATGACACAGGCCAAAAAAATTTTAAAAATATTAAAAAATAATAACTGAAAAAAGAAGTTGTAAAAATCAGAACGTCTGTCAAAATACACCACATCGAAGGTAGACGGGCCGGTGGTTCAACCAAGTCTGTAATGATAAACACACAGGGAAACACTTTGCAAGGGTGTGCAACGAGGAAGAAAAAATAATGCAGGAGAGGACCAGAGAGGTTGGGGAAAATACAAAAAAATACCCCTCGACCAAAAAGAAAAAAAATTTAAAGGAAAAAAAAAAAAGCAACCAAAAAAAAAAGGCATTTTTTTTCCTCTCTCATCGCAAAGGTTGGAGACACCTCTGGGGTTTTTTTAGGTTTGGTGGTAGTTCAGTGGAGATGCTGGAGGATGAGGAGCACGTCCCAGCTCGTGCCTGGGAAGCATTTGGCTGGCACAACCGGGGCTGCATCACAGCGGATGCACCATCCTTCATCCAGGTGGATTCCCTAAGGATGGGAGTAAAATGGCTTGCGAGCAAAGAAGGGAGGGTGTCTAGGGGAAAAAAGGAGAGATTAGTCGGTGCAGGTTGAAGGCTGCAGTGCAGCAGCCACTGACATTTTGGGCTCAAACGCCTGCTTTTTCATCTATTCATTTTTTTATTTTTAATTTGAATTTTTCCTTAAAAGCACAAACTGAAAATCTGCTTGGAAAAAAACGTGAGCTCGCTGGAAGAAGATACCAGTGTGTGTTAATGTAAGGGAGGGAGGGGCCAAAAAAAAAAAAAAGAAAAAAAAAGAAGAAAAAAAAAAAAAAATGTGTATTTTTTTGAGTCCAA